CACCGCCCAGCCCTAGTGTCATGCTAAAGGTAAGAACTGGAGGAAGTCATCTGGCACCCTGGTTAAAAAAAAACAGCCCCCGGTAGTATCTGGAAATATCTGGAAATATCTGGAAACATGAAAATGGTAAATGGTCTGAAATTATATAACGCTTTATCAAGTCCAGTCGGACCCCAAAGTGCTTTATAGTTACAGTCATTCACCCAGTCACACATTCAAATGGATGGTGGTAAGCTACACTGTAGCCACAGCTGCCCTGGGGCAAACTGACAGAGGTGGGGCTGCCATGCACCGGCACCATCAGACCCTCTGACCACCATCAGTAGGCTGGTCTGATGGAAAATTTAACTTTATCACCTAATCCKAGTTCCAGGAACTCTACTGTTTGTTTCAGACTTTCTGAGGAGGAGGAAACACCGTGAGCAACAGATGAGTTATCTGTCAGAAACTGGACCACGCCCACCAGCCTTTTTCTTTCTCCTAAATTAACCATGATGAGAGCAGATGCTTTTCACCTTTTGTCTAAAATGARGATGAAGGTCAGCTGAGCTGGGTTTATATGTGAAAAAGGTGGGTCGGTCAGAGGATGTATCAATCCTTTTGGTTGCAGCCGAGGCAGCATACTGTGTACAGAGCAACCACAGCACCAAGAGAACTGAAGCTCTGATGTGCGTTTGATTGGACCACAACCTGGACCAGCAGGGCCAGTCCTGTCTTCARTGACTGAGCTGTACCCATATTTCACTCGGGACTCTACCATTTTGCCACCACAAACCTTGCTACAGATGTTTTCACCTGCTCAAAACCATCAAATCACATTTTGGAGCTKATTTATCAAGAYACCAGATAAACCACACTAAACTGCTGGGCAAACTATAAATAAATATAGCCCATTCTTTAACTGGGTGTGTTGCACGAGATTTACTAAGACTGCATGCACRAATGATAACAGGTGCAGTTGTGGTGCAGAACGGCCTGTTGAAATGAGGGCTCTGTGTGTCGGTCACCATGGAGAAAACTGATCCAGATGCAAGAAAATCCAGTGTTGCAGAGTTTTTCTACAGGACAAGGGTCAGGAAGCTGGAGCTCTGGAGACACGTAAGATGCTCCTTCTGGCCTTGACCCAAAAATATATTTTCATAGTTTAATTTTTATTTGTTTAATTAACCTTTTTTTTTATTTCAGTTACCCTGAAGCTCAATATGATACTTTAAAATCAAAATTTAAAAAGTTTCATTGATTTGTCAACCAAAACATGCCCCACATTTAGATCACCCGCTGCACAACAACAGTCTGGAGAGTTGGAGGTTCGATATCCTGCTATTCAGTCACATGCTGAAGTGTCCCTGGTCAAGACACTGAAACYCCACTGCCTCTGATGTGTCCCATCAGTGTATGAATGTGATTTAAAGCACTGATTGGTCTCCACAGGATGATTTGTACTTGTTAGCTTTGTAGAGAAACATAGTAGAGTGCTGGTCAGGGCAGGTGCTGAACATTTGTGTAAATAGTGAGGAGGACAGGTGAACTAACCCTAACCTGCAGGATATTAAAACCAGAACTAAAATCAATAAACAAAAGATGGGCATAGATCTTTGGATTTTCAAGGTGTTTAGTAGTTAGGTGAGTGATGCCATTAATGGCACTTTCTGTGCCTCGTCCTTGTCTGTATAGGTGAACTGGAAAGGATCTAGAGCAGGAAATATCTCAGATTTCAAGGGAGACACAACATTTTGTATTTCTCAAGACTCCATTACTACTGATGTTAGAGCCACTGGCCTGTAGTCGTTATTATCAGGTGGACTTAATTTCTTGGGAACAGGAATGATAGTTGACCTTTTCCTAAAAGAAGGAACAGTATGTTGGTTAAGTAATCACTGAAAAAAAGGGGCACCAGACAGAAGTGAGCTCTTCAGGACAGGCTTTTAAGAGAAAAGCAGAGATACCRTTTGGACCTGTCAGTTTATTTTTGAAGATCCCACTAAAGAGTGACTGGATTTTGAAGGGATCAACTATCAGCCTGGACAGGAACTGGCAAATTTAATGGACWGAAACACTTTGTCACAACCTGAAGACAGATCCTGAAGAGAGATCCTGTGTTTCGAACCTCGTAAAAAAATTGTTGAGCTCATTAGATTTTTTAAGCTCATCATCTGTGATAAAACACATTCTCATTGTAGTCTCTTTGTACCTTGCAAGGTGCGAGGCAGGAAAAAACCCAGGGTGCAGGCAAAACTCCAAAGTTCAAAAACAAAGTATTTAATAAACAAAAAAGGGCTGTCGTGGCAGCAAAACTAACAAGCTCTACTCAGGAAGAACAGGCATGAGGAACATGGAGAGACACCACACCGACTGAAAGCAGTACAATGATCAGACACAGACTGAGGATAAGACACCAAATATAAAGGGAAACTGATGAAGACAAATTAGAAACACCTGGAGGAGACACAAGAGGAAACAGGTGAGCGTGGGCAGGACTGCAGGGCAGAAAAACACAGGAACACTGAAACACTAGAAAAACCAAGAAAACAAACACAAACTGTGACAGGACCTCCCCCTTAACGACAGCCGCTCAGCCAGGATCTGCCAAGCATAATCGCTGACCCTCCGGTGGCCGGGCAGCAGCAGCAGATTGTCATAACGTCCTCSATCTGCCAACAGAGG